ATGCTTAGCATCTGCCGCGCGCGGTATTTATAAATAATTATGAATATCAGGCCAGATCGCGTGGTGACGGCGATTTAGTGGAATCGCGTGTATCAGCGATGCCGATGGAAAGCTCATGACACTCATGAAGTCTTCGTAATTTATCTAAAGTTCAGCGATGGTATGCGCTTCCGTTGAACTTGAAATGACAGTCCCTTCTACTCATAAATGTGGCTGAGCGCCCATTGTTATGTAGTATTCAGGGACTGTTCTTTTGTACTTCGTCAAATTTTCAGAAAGCGTTCGGCAGAAAACACTGAATCCTCAACGACTATAGAGGGCGGCGTTGCCGCTAAGCAACCTCGTTTGGATGCTAATGCTACAAAAAGTAAGTCCAAGTCATACACAGTGCTGGTACTGATTATCTCGGTGCTCAACTGTGACTTCGGTTGTAGTGAAGCGCAGAAAGCGCGGGTCCCTTGTAGTTGCAGGCCTCCTTCTGTGGAGGTCTACTTCCTATGCGTGGGATGCGTGATTATATCCTACCACCACTTCAACTGATGAATTGCGAAGTTAGAGTATGTAATACTGTTGCTGATGAGATTTTCTGAGGTTTGTGTATGACAGGGTGCTGTGACCCCTTCATCGCATCTTCGGAAATTGTGACTGCTGCTGTTGCACCGTCACGGTCTCATTCAGCGACTCCCTATCGTTTGGGGAAGAAAAGGGAGATTTTGTTTTGCACCAAGGAACTTTCGTCCCCCTCACCCATGTTCTCACTCATACTAGTGTCTAGCGTCTTTAAAACTTACCTTTCGAAAAGTTTTTACATCTCGTTATTGCTTGATTTTTTCTGGATAATGCGGCTTTATACTGTTTATTATTTAGCTTTTCCAAAAAAGAATGGAGGTCCACAGACCGGCAATCAATCTATTGCAAAACCTGCTGCTGCCGCTAAAAAACCTGTTGCTGCCGCTGCTGCCAAAAAGAAACCTCCGCCAAAGCGCGCCACGTACAATGAATGGCAGAGTGGTCCAGGTTACTTTGGAGGCAACTCAGCAGGAAGAGACCGTTTCAGGCAAAGGCCAGGCCGACCTTTCCAAGATGTACGTTTTCGCCATATTTTATGATTTTTTCTCTATTGATACTATTCCAGACGCGTCCACGGGAAATCCCATCACTCCTTTCGGCTAGTCGTGGTCCTTCTGGTGTGTCGCCCTGGTCAAGACCACCTTTCCAAGAGTTAGTTTTTCTCAGCATCCTTTTAGCACATCACAACAGAATTTGTGCAGGGATGTGCGTAGTTTGGAACAAGTGATGCGCCGAGCTGCTCATGACAATTCGTCATCTTTCGACACAGCAAGGCAGGTGGACAGAATGGGACTTGGCCCCGCTATGGGGTCACTATTGAGCTCTG